TATAAACATAAACATAAATATAAATATAAATTTATGTGCACTGCCTGCTGTCTTGGGTAAGGAGCCCAGCCAGCTGTCTCCATCTTCAGCCTCCAGCAGTGGCAACAGGAGTTTCCAAGCAGAGAAATCAGATGGGGGTTTCCTTTTCTACCAGCCCTGTGGCCCAGCTCTGCCAGTAACAGAAAAGGCAGGCTGAAAAGATTGGTTTGATCCTTAATTGGAAGTGTCCGCTGAGCCCTTCACATCCATCACCATGACAAGCATCAGACAACAGCTTGTCCTCTTTCTGCTGTCCCTCTGGAAAGGAGCATGGCTCTGTCTGTGTGCTAGGGAAGCGTTCACCTCGTGCAAGTCCTGAAGCCAGCACACCTACGTAGCAATGTTGGCAGGGAAACCACAACTGAAAGGCTTTCTCTCTGCCCTCCCCAAGAGGAGACCCCTGAACTGACATATTTGTAAAGCAAACTGCTTTCCTGTGTGTTAGGGAAATCATGGTGCTATTGAGCCTTTATATTTCATAGGTTGTGGATATACTGTTCTTCTGTTGGAAACATAAACTTGGATTTAAAACAAAATTAGTCAATACTGCTGCTGTCTTTACTAGGGTGGCGTCAGCCCCCTATCAGTCTTAGTTACTGCCATGTAAATATCTGAAAGTTCATGGGCTTGCTTCAGATACTTAAGAAAGAACACTGTCACTAAAAGCTTGGGAAGGAGCCAACGAACTCTTCCCTGGAATTTTGAGTAACTTTGGTTCAAGTCAAGATGCAAAGAGCCATATTTTTGCAGGGTTGGAGAACTGTAAAAACTAACTTACATTAAAGTTGAGTATAAGCCAGCTGAGGCTCTGGTCCAGGAGATTGTGGTCAGCAACTGGTAACTCCTTAAAGCTTCTTTCATTGGGTGAAGGTGTATTGACCTGCAACAGGACAGCCTCCTTCTTGACTGGAGTAGCCCTCTTTCTAGTATTTTCTCATGTGGCTTCATAGCCTCTTCCTCACTCATTTTTATGGCTGTCATGGTGACACGCAATGTGAGAAAGACAGATAGTGTGACTATCACATAGACAGTGAACTTCCTGAGTGACAGCTCTGGAGAAGGGGCACTGCAAGGCCTACTTAGAAAATAAAATCAGAATAACAGACAATTTAGTCATACTAATAACTTCCTCTGATCATGGAGATAGTGCTGGTGAAGGACAGAGTATCACAGGAAACTGAGCTACTGCTTTTACTGTTGCTACAGAGCCTCACAAAAGGATCATCTGTAGATTTTGATCTTACATCAATCATGAGTAAAAAATGGCTTTTTGGAACACTGAATGGGTTGTCTTCAGTCTAACAAGCCATTTCTGTGGCTGATGTTTGAACAGGTTCTCTAAATCTTACTACTTTTTCATTTAAATATATAAATAAAAAACCCAATTCATAAATGTGTTAGTGCCAGTGTCCCTTTTGAGGCACTGAGCAGAAGGGTTGTGGAAATGCTCTGAAACCTGCACGTATTGTGAAAGAATATGGGGAGTTCTACTGCAGTGTGAACAGGTATGAGGGGTCTGGAGCTCCATCCCAAAGATGTGGATCAGGGTGCCTGGGGATCTGGGAGTGTGATGAAGGAAAGAGGGAGAATTTTCACTTCGTTTAAATTGTATTTAGGAGTTTGCTTTCTTAGATGATTGCTAAGCACATTCAGTTTTCTGATTATGTGTTTAACCCATTCTGGTCCTTAGATCTAATGACTGGACTAATCTTTCCTTCCTCTCCCCTGTTTTCTTTCTTGTTGCAACCCAGCAAGAACAGTTTTGTGTGGATTTTAAATACCAAAACTTCACCTGGCTTCTGACTACATTTGAGAGAGACTTTGGACAGATTCCATAGAGATCTAACACTGTAAAATACTTAACAGTATGCTTGTCAAATACTACTATTCCAGATAATAAAGTAAGGGAGGAATTCAACTTCCTACAAGATCCAAAGGAAATTCATGTGCCACAGCCACTATCTGCTGTGGTAGTGCTTCTGCATGGGTGCTTAAGGGTTGCATTTCCTATGATTCTGTGATTTCCAGGCCACTGGTCCTGAGACACTGCTGGTGGCAATGTTTAAGCATGGAGGATTTGTGCTTAATTGTGTTGGCAAAGTGTAGGGGAGACCCAAGGAGGTTGGCTGATACCCAGAACTGAGCTCGAGTGCTTATCGCTAACACTAACAGGAAGATGACTCCTCTGGGACGACTTTCACAGAGCATTTGGTGTTGGCAGGTCAGCCTAGCAGGAAGGCTGTTTTCTGGGTGATTAGATAACTGAGTGACAGTCCATCCCTGTACTGCCTTCAGTGGAATAGGATGTGCGATGTTAAGTGTTGAAGGTGGGTGGCAAAGCTCTTGAAGTTACCTGGTTTTCATGTGGAAACTGTAGTGTACTCCTTACATCAAGGAGGATGCCAACTCTCTTGGCCCTGTAGGTTTGTCTCCTTTTTTTGCTCTCAAGTCATGGTAGAACTGACTGAAGATGCTTATGTGTGCTTTGTGTGTCGCATTGGAACAGTCTCTGCTGATCTAGAAAATACAGGAACACTTTGTCTTAAGAGTTGTGCTGGTGACTAAAATGCCAGGTTGTTCAAAGTCTTCAAATTCAATCACATCTGGTGCTGCATGTGCATGGCTGAGAGTTAATGGCAGTATCAATTATGGTGATGCACGTCTTCCCTATTTTGATGACGCCTTTGGGCTGGCTGCCTTCTCCAAAGCTGTGCACCCAGTGCTGAGAGGGTGTCAAAGCATGCCCAGGTCAGATCACTTAATTCTGCTTCTCCAGGAGAGTTTTCCCCAGTGCTGGTCCCCTAGTATTTCTTTTCCCCTATGGTGGAGAACAAGCAGAACTGTGGCTGCACTTGAACTGACAGCTGCATACATGCAGCATGGGCACATGTAACAAAGGAGAGCTGTTTCCTTAGATTATTCAAGACTGAGCTGAGTGCGTGTGTGTAAATCTAACTGACTTTTCTTTCTTCATAGGCATAACATGGGGCAAGGTGGTGTCTCTCTATGCTGTGGCAGCTGGGCTGGCAGTGGACTGTGTGCGGCACGCACAGCCAGCCATGGTTCACACCATTGTAGACTGCCTGGGAGAGTTTGTCCGCAAGACGCTGGTGCCATGGCTGAAAAGGAGAGGAGGCTGGGTAAGAGATGCTATCTAATCAAGCTTGTTTCCACATATGCAGTCCAGAAAGTATCCCAGGTTATGAAAGCGAGAGTGCCTCCACTACAGTTTTATGCAGAAAAACATTGAATGAAATTCTCTTCCACAGCCCTGTGGCCACCACTGTCCTACTGACACCTGTGCTATGCTCTGTTATTGTCTTGTGGGCCCATCCTCGACAACATCAGCTATTCTGGTCCTCAGCTTTCTGTGTAGCTTTGTCAGACTAATTCAGTCTTGACCAGCCAGGACCTCTTCTGTTCCTGACATTAACATCTCTGGAGCTGTCAGATAGATGTAGCAGGAGACTGTAAATAGGGGTCATTCTCTTGGGCAGTTGTTTTCTATAACCTGAAAAAAAATCGAGCCTGCCAACTTAATTCCCCTTTCACCTGCCTCAGAGTTCCCCAAGTCAAAGCTCAGTATATTAATGTGACTTGCCATCATAAGAAATTTTAGAGGGATATTAAAACCTAGTAGTTTGTGCTGTTTCCTGACCTGACCCTGATGATGCTCCATGAATAACTTCTGATGTAGCACACTTATTCTTTGAAGGGCACTTGTAACACCCATCAACAGTGAGAGCGTTCATGGCTGTTGCTTGCCTGTTCTGAGACTGTGGGTAAGGCATGGTGCTGCTCTGCGTTGGAGTGTGGCTCCAGATCATATGTTTTTAAGCGTCTGATTTCTTTGGTTGTCTCTGTACCTAAAGGGGAATGCAATGCTCCTGTGGAGGATGATTCAGAGTAAGAGCTTTACCTTGGTGCCATTGAATAGCCAGACATCTTTCTAGTTACCTCCCCAGGAGACTGAGATGACTGGTTGGCTATGTTAGCAGTTGGCAGCTGGGTGATGTACATACGTACCTGTGTCTCTGTGCTTTTCTTCCAGGTATATAGACACTTCTTGGAGTGATACAGCCAAAAGCACTTCATGCACTGGCTGGCAGATGCTGCCTAGAGCTGAATATTACCATATGACACTACTGAGCTCATGGAACATCTTGTTCCCAAGGCATGTACTCTTTACAGACTGAACCACAGTGGCAAATTCCCTCCTTTCCAGGAGGTGATATTTAGTCCTGAGTGGATTGGAAATATTTGGGCTCCCCACTCTGCACAGACCAAGAGGGAGAGGGATGTCTTTTTCCAAAATGAGCATTGCTCCTCTGTGCTGAGACTTCCCAAGCATGGCTGTAGTTGATTCAGTCACCTAGATACTACAGGAGTGAAAACACCTTTTTGATGAAAGGAAGCTGCAGAAGCAGCGTTGTTCTGATTTTGGATCCCTTGCATTTACTTACTGTTACTGCCACCTTAAATTATTCCTGCCCTCTCTAAAACTATGTGACATTGAGGCCAACTGAGTCAGGGAACTGTTTAATTGGACTGAAAAGTAACCTTTGATTTGAATACCCTCATCTGTTTTATTTTGCATCTGTACAAATAATTGTTCCAAGGTAGGTGAAGAGGAAAATGTCTGATAAAGTAGGCTGTGTAATCCATGCCCCAGTATCTTTTGAGGCTTACTTTAACTGGGTACCTGTAGAGCTAGATCTAGTTTAAGTGTTCTATGAAACAATTTTTCATTTGGCAAAAATCAAGTTTCGGTAAAATTGAAATGTTGCATAGGAACACGTCTCCTCCTAGTTTCTAACTTTTTTTTTTCTTTGTTATGGTAAAACATGCATGTTCTCATAAGTTAGCATCTTGTTTTAATTTTTGTATTACTTTAATGGAATTCAAAACAGGGTGTTTTGATAATGCCAAATGGATATTTTTGGAAAGTTTGTTGCATAGCAAACAAGTTGCGAACCCACACCAGAACTGGTTCTTTGCAGCTGAGGAGATAAGCCCCGTCCACTGCTAGCTCCTTCTGCCGATCCTTTGGTTGTCCAGCACATTTCTGCTGGAGTTGCTGTGAACCTACGCTGCTGTCTGTTAGGATCTGGCTCTAAGAAAAGGAAGCCAATCTCACCTCCCCGATCAAACATAACTGTAAAAGCTGCTGGATTGTGCCAATTACAACCTGTCTCCAGTATCCTTATCAGCAATTTTGGGCAGCAACAAGGAGGTATTTTCCATCTAGAAAAGAGTGGTTCCTTCAGTCTGGGAAAAGGCTGCTAATCCTCTTGCCATCTTGTGCTATATTTCCCTGAATGTTCTTCCTCTTGATTTGGGCACTGCAGTGTGAAATCTCCCAGCCTTGTTCACAAATGGGCCAGACAACTCAGCTCTGTACTGGGGACTCTCTCATGTGCTGCCTGACCTAGACGGTTGTTAGCTTGTCTTGGCATGGAGTCCTTGTTTCTCCTCTGCACATGGCTCCCATCTATTATGCGAAGGCTCAGGTTGAGGCTACCAAGAGGAACCACCGTGTTCTTACCTGTTTTAGAAAAGACACCATGGAGACATTGTAAAGACGTTTGAAAGTCTCCACTCAGCTGTAGGTTCCCATACTGCTTCCATAGGGTGGAGAAAGACCCAACCTGCCAAATTTCAAACTAAAACAAATCTCAGAGTGTTAAACGCTTTGAGGCATCATCTTTCACTGGAGAGAGTTCGCAGCCTCAATAATGGCTTTACAGTAGAACTGAAAGATTTTTATTTATTATTTTTAGCAGCCTTTACGTACATTCTCTACAGAGAAAACCATACAGCTTGGACTTGTCTGAATGATTAACAGGCGAAGATCAAACTGCCATTGCAGCAGCTTATCAGTGCCTCACAAGACTGAAAGACCCATTTTATTAAGTAGCTTTTAAACGTTCAATTCCAGTGCTTCTGACTGGAGCTCATCTTGACTAGCAGCAGTGAGGTCATTTCCTTTCATAGAACATATCACAGCTTTAAAGAGTTCATACTTTCTCATCTGGAAGTTAACCCTCTGCAGCTATAATCCAGCATCCATATTTGGGCCTTGTGCTCATTCACATGAGGTCCTAAAGCCCTCCAGAACTTAGGTTTCTAATTGATCACTTACCCTAACATCTGAACACATGTTGAGACAGATGCCTTCCTGTCATGACTTTTTTTTACTAATGAGACATCTCGACACAACTGTGTCTTTTAGAGACCAGCACAATGTCATATATAATTGGGCAGGCTGAGTCAGTTTAGGCTTTTTTCAAACGCAGATAGGGTGAGTTTTCTAAGTCTTCACTGAAAGCATTTAGGCAGATCCATTTTACAGATACAGTACCTATAACCACATGTACTACATTGCAGCATCTTCTGTTATGTACTGTCTTGGCTGCTTGCTACAGTTTGCTTGTGCTTTTGTAGCTATAGGCAGCAGTATTTCTACACTTTGATTTTCAGCCTCAGGAACATCCTGTGTGCTGATTCAGCTTCCTCCTGTCATCCTGTTTCTTCCCATCCTCGTGCCTGTATTTGTCCCTCCTGCAATCTCTATTTGTCAGTTATTCATGGTTTCAACATCTCCTAATGCTCTCTGGAGAACAGCAGCACAGGATTGATTCAGTATGCCAGCCTTTCAGACTTCCTTGTGAGGGAGGAACTGCTGGAAATGCATGAGAGGCTGTTGAGTTGCTGTCCTTTGGTCTGTAGATGACGTTGGAGTCTTAGTGTGGCTGTACTCACTAACTGGACACAGGGCCTTCTCCCTTCAGTTCCCCTTTTGTTTTCTTCTAATTACTACAAAGGTTAGGTGAGACTCACCCATGTCTTCAGCACTGGCAGAAATATTAGAAAAGGTTACTGGAGTATTCAGCGGCTCTCTTGTCCAATTTTACAGGAGGAACATCTCAGGGTTGAGAGTCTGACTTTCCTCTGCTTGATCAATGAGAGACTCGTGTCAGAAGGTGAACCTGGAAGACTGCTGTGATAAGTTTGTAAAGAAAAAGCTTTTGGGGATGATGCATATTGACCTGGGCATAATGACTCTATTCTTGCTTACATTTGTCACCGAGAAGCCATTTCTGAAAACCATGTCAAGTTGATGTGCTAATGGTACACCCTGTTACAGAACTACAGTCCATATCTCCTTGTGCTAGGCTGAAATTCAGCCACAAACTCAATTATATTGCTGGAAGAACTTCCATTTGTTTTCCCGACCAGAAGATGCAATTTTCTGTCTACCTCTGTCCTGTTCACTTTACCCTCCAGATATTTTCCGCCTTCTCCCAATGCCAGCTCAGAGCCTGTCTTCATGTGTTTGCTGGATTGTTGTTATTTTTTTATTAATTGTACACCAGCTTCTAGTCTTGTTAACACTTGAAACCAGCTGCCCAAGAGATCTTTAAATCTGGTCCACACATCTAGGAGGCATCTCTGCCAGCATATATATTTTCACAAACAAAGACTGCATTGCTTTAGGTTTAATTTGGGGGTTGGCTTGCTTGAATGATTTCCAAATAAAACATTAAGGCAAGAGAACAAGTGTGAGCAACTTGAACTGATATTAAACAGGGCGACCTCTGGGAAGCATCTTTCTTTACAGAAAAGGATGAGAATGTTGATATTGCCAAGGCTTCTTAGCTCTTTTGAAAAGGGGAGGAAAATTTCTTTTCTTTGCTATTCGAAATGGAAAATGTTTGACAACTTTCCTGTAGCATCTTTTTCCCTGGGGTGGCTGAAAAGCGAGATGATACACCTTGCTGATACAGGGTGAAGAAAGTCTATTTCACAAAACTCTTGAGCCTGATTTATTAACTTGCATTGTGTGGAAGTGTCAGAGCCAGCATTTGTGGCTGTTGATGTCGTAGCAAAGTGGTGCGTCAGCAGAGGTGGTGCGGTGCCATGGGCTGTGGGGCTGGGACAGTCTACGGTGGTGTCCTGTGTGGTTCAGGGCATCTCTCTCTGATGATCTTTGTTCCTTCCTCATTAGGCAGACATCACAAAATGCGTGGTGAATACTGACCCCAGCCTTCGCTCCCACTGGTTCGTGGCTGCTGTTTGCAGCTTTGGTCATTTCCTCAAGTCTGTCTTCTTCGTCCTGCTGCCTGAGAGATGAATCCAAGTTGCCAAGTGCACGCCCTTTACCCCAGCTCTTTCCCCACTCCAGAAGCAGTAGTAATGACAACCTCTGAAGAGGAGGAAGAGAAGAACTGGACAAACAAAATTGTTGTTCCTCTCTCCATTCAGCTGGGAGCATGTAAGCATGTAATCAACCACAGTTTCATTTTTTGCAACTACAGGAGTGCCTCTCACCATTAATACTTTCAAGAGTCTCGTTTCCCTGGGTGACTTGTGTGTGTGGGCTGGACATTGCAAGTTCCTGGGCATGCTGACTGCAGCTGTGTGAAGGATGGATTGTCAGATGTCTGTTTCTTATGGCTGCATTGCATGCTTACGCTAGTGCCAGGCAGAGGGGAAGAGGAAGGGGAAATGGGATAGAATACAGCAGAGGAGGAGAGTCCCTCCTTCACTCCATACGATTCTCCTTTCAGTCCTCAGACACGCCTTGTGTCAGTTCTTGTTACATATGTACTTAAACTCCATCACTTCATTTGTACCTCTGACTTGCTGGGCTCTGCACCCAGCACAGCACAGTGGATAGGATAATGCAGCTGTGAGTTTTTAATGTAATGAAAACAAACACACTGTCATCACATGCTTCTCCCTGATACATCTTTGAAATCTGACTGAGTGGCTGTGAGGGTCAGGACTAGAGGGCAGTTGCATATGATGCAGTTTGCAAGTGTATTTCACTGACCCCTCTTACTGCACTCACACACCATTTCAAACAGGAGAGCAAGGGGCAATACCTTCAGGCAACGACTTTGAATTGAATTTCATAACGAAGAAAAATGTTTTCTCCACTGAGATTTCATCAGAGCTAAGCGTGTAAGTAGGAAAGGCTGAGGGGCATGGGGAGGAATTAGGAAAACAGTAAGTGAACTGTCTAGTGTTGTGAAGGAGAAAAACTGTGTCAAAAGTAGTTGATTTATGTTTTCCTCTAATGTCTTCAGAAGTACAATTTATAGTTTTCTTTGTGGCAAACAATAAAAGAAAACAGGTGGTGTTTCACTATTGCAAAGGGGTATTGTATTTGTTTCCAGAGTTTAAAATTCAAAAAAAGGCCACAACAGCACAGAGACAAACACACAAGCCATACTAAAAATATTTAGAGCTTTTCCCCTGGTAGAACATGTTAACATGTTAAAACTACAACTGGCCTGATTAGTGCTAGGAATTTAACCCGTGTTGTTACCATGTCAGAAATGTGCTGTTTTTACTGACAGAAGCAGGGCCTCACTGCCATCAGCAGGCAAAGGCTGTGGAGCCTCTTCTCTGCCAAAGCCTCACAGGAGACACCCTGCTCAGTGCTTTGCTCCCCAGAGTGTGGCATCACAGAAGAACACTTTTCTGGATTAAGAACATATGGCATTATAGGAGTTTGTGTTTGTTTTGGTTTGGTTTTTTCTGGTTTCCTTCTCACACACTGTGTTTAGAGGGCCTTTACTGTATCCATCCAAATATCAAAAAATGGGTTTGAAAATAAAGCAGATCTTTACTTTTTGGTTATATATGTGTGAAAGTTTTTTCTAGCAGTCAGTAGTGCTGTGCTCTGATCAGCAGAACCACTGACAGAGGATATGTAGGTGGTTACACCCTTGCATGGTCATGCTCTCGACTGGTCTAGCCTTTTGCATTTCTATTCATGCCTTGACATATGGGTACCAGGCCCAGCTTTACCCATAGTACTATACCCACAGTGAAGGGTGCTTTACCAGCTCAGTCTACTAGTACTTTTTCAGGAGTAAACTAATTATTTACTGCCCTCGATCCCCCAACAAAAACACTCACCAGGAAGAAGAAAGCCTCCTGTTCTGCATCAAAGCTCTGTGCTGTCTTTGACAGTGCCTAGGCAGACTTTGGCTATGGGGGTTACATGACAAAATTCCTGGTGTAAATGCAGTTGATGATGCCCTGGGGTTGGTGCATTTTTGTGTGTGTAAAGCCTGCAGCTGTTCCCCAAATAAAGCCAAATTGTCGTAGGAATATCTAATTTTTTTCTTCATGACATTATTATATTGGCACTAGGGCTTTTGCTGGTACCTTTCCCACTTAGGATTTTCTTCCTTAGATTCCTGATAGATCTGACTATGGAAACTTATACCAGGTATAGCATACATGGTGAACTAAACTAATCACACTTTGAGCAGCACAGCAGTGATCTGATATTATATTACTGATACCTGTATCAATATACCTGACATATTCCCCTCTGATATGCAATAGATGCAGTAAAAGCCTTATAGTTATTGCAGGGGGATGCAGCTTCATTGTCTTAAAGTAGCTTATAAAAAAGTAGACTTTGGATTTCTGGAAGTACTGTGGTTGTGTGCAGACTTTGGACAGTTTCACAGCTCATAAAAGTCCAAATTGTCATACCATGCCAAGTGTTTTATGGAGTGTATGTGAGTTAATGGAGCTAGCAGTTGAACACTGAGACTGTGAAGACCTTTCTCAATTTAGATGCTGTTTTGAAATGTAATACCGAAGGCTATGGCTGCTTTTTGAGTAAATGAGTGATATCAGATGGATTATTAAGGAATATAAAGAGTTAAATGCACCTATTAAGTGGGTTTAACAAAAAGAGAATGATAAGCCAAATAAAGCAGCACTGCTGGAAAGGAATGTGTGTGGGTGGGAAGGGGGTTACAGTGGCAGGCAGGCAAAGATCCATCTGGAAATTGCTGATAATCAAGAGGTGGCGGAGCACCCTACAAACAGGTTTCAGACTTCTCTTACTTTTGACTTTCTTTAATTTCCTCGTCCCTGCAACATATGCACCAGAGCTGAACAGTGTGCTGCTCGGTTTGCACTTAGGGTTAAACTAGAGTGATGCTTTTATCCATCTCATTCCTCCTGCAATAATCACATTTGCACCAATCTTGTAACCACAATAAACAGCAGACAGAACTAACTGTGCACACCATTGTGCATTTGGGAAGAAGCAGTCTTGAGCCTGATTCAGCCAAGTATTTGTGTTGTGTTCATTTTTTTCATAATATTTTGGCATTTCAGAGTACTTCCAGAGGTCTTTTACAGTCTCAACAGTGGATCTGTGAGTTTTCTTTTCCCTCTTCTCTTTTCTAGCTGATGAGGGACATCAGGATTAGTTGTTTATCACCCCAAAAAACATTTTCCATTTATGTGATTGGTGAAGCTTCTTGGAATGCGTCTACTTTATTTAGCAGTTAAGGAAAACCAATAATGTGAGTACCAGGATTAACACTATTATGTTGCCTCATATTGAAAGCCTGGCTGCTTCTCTTCTAGAATCAAAAGCTCAACCCCCCCAAACTCATGGGGTTTTTTTCCCTGCAGTGTTTCCATTTATCTGCTTGATAAAATTGGTTGTTGTGAAAGTTGCCTTCAGTTGGTTTTAGGCAGTTTTGCTCACATTGAGCGTTCTAAGTGAGACTTAGCTACACACTAACTGTCTTGGAACATCGTTCCCTGTCCCTAGTCACCTTTCAGTCTATTGCCCAATTTCATCCCCTTTTGCCAAAGAGCTACAGTAACAACAAGTGCAGGGGACAGACCGCTTTTAGCAACAAGAAATGTGGCTGCTGTTCACCTCATTGGACAGCAGTGACTTGGCACATGTAAAATCTAGCCAGAATTTTGCTGCCTCCTGCCTCACTCCCACACTAGAACAGGCTAGGGGCACTGCACGAAGGTGCAGTGGCGTCTGTTGTAGTGGCGTCTGAGTGGAGGTATGGGATATGCCTAGGGAGTAGCTGGAGGAGAGAGGAAGGGTTGGAGATGAAGAAGTGGCATCCTAAATATTTTAATGGATGTGGAGTATTTTGCAGATTGGGAGTGGGCTGTGTGTTATTACAGCAGGGAATGTCAAGGTCAGAGAATTGAGCCTACAGGAACCTGAGCTTCAGCATTCCTTTTTTCACAGAAGAACTTGTTCCAGTAAGGATAATTCCATCCCCCCCACACCTGGTGCTGTCTTCATTTGCCGTTTCTTTGTAGTAGACCTACATTCAGTCAATGGAAATATTTGCTTTATCAAAAAGTCAGGAAGCAGAAAAGCCATCTCAGCTTGGATATTTGAGTAATGCTTATTGTGTCCTGGACATGACATTGCTTCAACCACAGCTCTCCCTTGTCAAAGACTGACAAAAATAAGTTCACCTTCAAAGCAACTGAAGTGGTCTCACAGCAGATGTCACTTCTGTTTCTGCACTGCTTTTTCTCCTATAAATGGAAAGAAAACAGTCTGTGAAGCCCTTAATTTGTCAGACTTGCATTTTTATTATATGCCAAAGTATGGAAAAATAGCATCAGGGAGTAAAATTGAAGTTTTCTGGAAAACTGCAGTACTAAACTTCCTCGTATTCAAATTTGTTGTCTAGACCCTGAGAAAAATCTCCACCCATTTTATTTTATTTTATTCCTTTTTTAATGTACAAAGTCTGCAAGTGATTTTTTTTTGTGCACAAATAAATTTAATATGAAGGTGATTTCAAGCCCTTTAGAGGGCTTTCTGAAAAGATCAGGCCCCTAAGGAATTCCAATGGCTTTGCCAAGAGCCTACTTAATACAGCTCTCATTGATACGTTTCCTTGAATTTCTTTACTATTGTTGTTTTTTTAAATCTAGTATTTGTAATTTTTATAGTCATAAATTTGCTACAGATCAATTGTTCTCTTAGGGCAACATGAAAATAATGAATGCTACTAAATTAAAGACAAGAAAACAGTAGTTGAATGTACTGCTGGCAGAGTCTATAAATTTCTTCTGTGCAAGTGGTTTGACAGATGGAGTTTAAATATTCCCTCAGAAAAGCCTGTAACCTCTTTAGCTCTAAACATGTTGACCCACTGGGATTACAAGGCCCTAGCACTGCTAAACAGAGTGATCCTTGGCTGAACTTTACACTGTCACGGAGGACCTGGAAGTGCATTGCACATTCAAGCACAGTCTGTGGGAAATAGAGTGCTCCTGGGTCAATCACGTGACAAACAGTCCATGTCCAGGCAAGGTCAC